AAACAGTGGTATAGTAGTCAAAACTATATTATACCATTGTTTATTATTCCCTCACTAACAAGACTTTGATTTAAATTTCTTCCACAATAAATTTTACTGCTATTAACATTGCTACACAAATATGAGTGTGCATGGAAGCTGTTTGGTTCAGGGGCATGGCATAAGTATTTTAACATTTGATGGAAATGCAAAATTGGCCTCCAAAAGTATTTTAGCCATTTCCATTCATTGATTATAATAATAGCTAATATCTACTGAACATTTACCAGATGCCGAACACTGTCCTAAGGGATTTAGGTAGAATATTTTAATGAGCCCGATTGTATCAGTCTTATTATTACTTCTGTTTTATAGATTAGGAAATAAAGGTTCTAGAAGGTTAAGTAGTGTGCATGATGGAATAGCTAGGAAGTGGTATAGCAATGATTTGAATATAAATCCTTATTTAGTATTGTCTTAAGTTTTGCTGATTCTTTCATTTCTTCTGCTTTTATTCATGCCTTCTTCATTCATGAATTTATTTTCAATGCTGAAGTGCATCATTGAGCCTTTTCTTTCAGGAAAAATATAGGGATGGTAAAAACATCTGAGCTTATTTATTGTTGCCCTTAATGATAGTCTGAATGGTTACAGAACTCGAGGCTTAAGACTTATTTTCCCCACAGTATGTGATACAGCTTTTGTCGTCTCCTATCCTATTGCAGATGAGATGTTTGAGGCCTAGCAGATTTTGTATTTCTTTTCAGGTAACATCTCTCTCTCCTCTCTCTTCTCCCTCAGCCCCTCTATGAGTATAGATATATATGATGCATCAGTGGAGACTCAAATGCCATGAGTTGTATTGCAAATGCTGACATGATGTTCCAAAATGGGGGCGGGGGAGGGAACTCTTAGTAAAGTTCTGAAAAAAAAAAAAAAACCAGCACAGTACAATCTCCCTTTGATTTACATGGTAGTGCATTCCTGGAAAATTCAGTGTATATAATAACCTAGCCAAAATACAGTGCCTCTCATGTTATTCTTTCCTGAGTTGCTTGAGCTGATGTTTATTTATATTCTTTTCTTAGAACAGTTTTTAAAGCGACAAATTTTCTTGAGCTCAGTTTTGCTCATATTCCATGGGTTCTGATTTCAGTGTTATTTTCTGGATAATCTACAATTTTATTTTTATTTCCCTGATGATCCAAATACTCTAAAGTTTTTATTTCTAGGTCCTTTTTCGGTTTATATTTGCTATTTGTTCCTAGTTCTATTGGACTAGGGTCATAAAATGTAATTTGAGGAATTTAAATATTTTGGAGTTTAATGAGGCTTTCCTGTGGCCTACTTTAAAATTTTGTTTTATAAATGCTCAATGAGATGTAATCTCATTTGCAGGACAAAATACTCTTTCCATAGCTATGACATAGCTATGAAAACAATTGCTTGTGACACTAAAATTAAATACAAAGAAGCTAAAAGAGAATCCATAAAATGCTATGATATCAGCTTGAAGAATTATGATATTCAGACTCTCTATAACCATTTTTCTTCAAGCTCTAAGAGATGTGTTTTTACAGATTATCAAATAATGTGGTTTTGTTGATTATGTCTCTCATGTTTTGATTTAGGCCTTCAATGCTCTTCCTGTAGTGGCTCATAGCATTAATTACTAAAGAACAACTTTTTTACCCAATAAATAAGCATCGACATTAACTGTGGTGTTATTATTTTTGTGTTCTCTGCTTTCTGTTTGCATCTGCCTGGCATATTGTAGCTAATCCTCTCACTTAAAATCTTTCTCATCTGGAAGCATACAGTTGGTTTTGTTTTTCAATGTAGTTGAAATGTTATCTCAATACATGAATTTATGCCATTTAAGTCCCTTGTCAGAGATAGTTAGTCTTGCTTCTGTCATCTCATTTTTTAAATTCTCTTTTTGATTCTTTATATTTAATTACAGTCCCACTGGAAATTGCTTTCTATTTTTCTGTTTTGTTATGTTTTGATTTTTTGAGACAGGGTCATTCCGCTGCCCAGGCTGGAGTGCAGTGGCACGATTACAGCTCACTGCAGCGACTTCCCAGGCTCAGACTATCCTCCCACCTCAGCTTCCTGAGTAGCTGGGACTACCAGTGCGCACCACCATTTCTGGCTCTTTTACTTTTTTCTTGGTAGAGACAGGGTTTCACCATGTTGCCCATGCCAGTCAAATTCTTAAAAATAATTATTCATCTGATAATAACACACATTTATATTGCTCTCTCCCTTCTTCTGTCCTCAGTTATTTTGATATATTCTAGATTCCTGATAGTAATAATTTTCATAAGTTTATACTTTATGCTACATTGTGTTCTAACATTTACAGCAATAAATGTTTTGTAGCTATAGTTTATAGTTATTCAAATATATTTCTATTTAGAAATTTTCTATGATTAAGTGAAACTGAAGATCACAAACAGCTGCTATCTACTACTAAGTAGCAACACCTGCACAAAGCAAGGGCTTAACAAATGAAACCTTTTGGTATAATTCTTGCCCAAGTCAAATTAAACAATAAAACAGGCATTACATTGTTTGAAATGATAGACTCTGCAGTGTTTAGTCAGCATTTTAATTTATAATATATTTTGAGTGACTAATAGAACACAACCATCGTACATTTGTAAATCCAAAAACATTAAGAGCAACTTTTTTCTGAACTGAATGTTAAGGTTAAATTCTTATCCATATTGAGCAGGAAAAAAATGAAATCCTAGAAAAACAAAATTTAAATGGGATGTCTGGCTTTGGACCATTCTATAGAGTGTATTAATTAATTGTATCAATGCAGGGCATGTGACTGCTGAGCAAAAGGACAACTTCTGCTAAGTGAAACGTAGATATTGAGAATGGCCTGGGTAGCTCATGAATACTGTTTCAAATTAGGAGTGATTTCAGCAGCAAGGAAGCAGTGACTTAAACCATCAGAACATTTTTATTTTAATTTAACAGTTAGAGGAAGGAAGTCCCAGGATTGGCTCAGCAGTTCAATATTACAGATTTAGGATCTTTCTCACTCAGTCATCCTTAGTTGGTTGACCTTTGTCATCCTCTGATGTAGGGTTAGGGTTATAGCTGCCATATTGATAAGCATCTCAAGCAGGAAGCTGAGGACATGACTATAAAGGATTTTCATTTCATGCAGTTCTTTAAATTAAGGAAATGTGTCTTTCTCATAGCTCCTCCAACAGACATGACCTGGAATTGGTAGCATGACCAGCCCAGATAAATCATTACAAAGAGGAGATTATCATGATTGACTGAGTCCAATCTTGAGTAGGGACTGGAACTCAGACAGACTTAACATAAAATTTCATAGTATGCTAAGTTTTTAATACAATTCTAGCAATATCCATTGTTAGAAAATTAACCCCTAGATACGGCACGGATACATCGAGTTGTATCTGACTAAATCAACAGTGTTTTGAGAAAATTCTTTGCCAACTGCATGTGCATAAGAGTGAACAGTCACTCCTCTAATTACTCAAATCTTAACCTGTTTCCAGCTTTAGCTCAAGGTACAGAAACATTATAAAGTACAATGCAGTGGAAACAGTATGGAGCTGGAGGATGCCAGACGACACTCCAACCCTAAGTCCACTGCTCATCACCTGTGTCACTGTAGGCAAGGTACTCCAGCCCTGCTGCTCAGTTTGCTCCGCTGCAAAATATGAAGATAACATCTTCCATATAAGATAGTTGTGGGATTAAATAAGATCATGTATGGAAATTATAACGACTTTCTATGATTAATAAGTACAATGTTGCCAGCCAGTGTTTAGGCCTGTATATGTGTATAAGATTGCTGTTACAAAAGTAAACTATTTTCTGTCCTTCAGAAGCTTAATTGTAACTGTGCACACATTTGGGGAGAAAAGGGTGGCAGCAGAGGAAAGGGCATTAATACAATTAAGGAACATTTCTTTCTGTTATCAGTTACATTGCATACCCAGTGGTTAAAAATAAAAATTGGTTCACTTCCTATTGGGGATTACCTAATTAGTTCCTAATGTATCACTTGGTAGGAAGCTATGAAATTTTTTTTTTAAATAGTAAAGCTTCTAATAAATTATTTATTGTAAATCTCCAGTGAGTTTATTAATAGGGAAACTGCTTATGTAGGGTGATTGAAAATATTTATACAGCTATTTTTAAATTGTGTGATGTGGTGATAATGACCATTATAAAATAGAAGCTCACAATTATTGAAGGCTTCTGTTCCAGGTGCTGTTCTAAGTATACATGGATTCTTTCATTTCATGCCCACACCAATCCCACAAGGCAATCACTGTTCTTATCCCTATATTTTTTTTTTTTGAAGAGAAAATGAGGAACAGAAAGGTTCAATGTTTTTCTCAAGGCTGCAGAGCTGGTAACAGGCAAAACCAGAACATGAACTAAAGAATTCTGACTCTAAATCCCACGCTCTTAAATGCTTTTAAATGCTCTTGAAAACAACCTTTCTGTGGATGCAGAGCTGAGGCGGACTGGCTCGAGGACTGAAGCAAGGCCAATGCTAGCTATTTTGCATAAGCAGATGACAATTTGTTCCCATAAGCACAGCTGAAAAAGTTGAACTAAGCCTAACTTGAGTTCAGGAAGAGGATGCCTATGACACTGATTCCTAATGTGGAGGAGGGAGAGGAGGTGGGAGTCAGGGAGGGATGTTCCCATCATTTGATGGTCCTAATTCTTCCTTCCCCCTGTGGTTCTCAATGGTTTTAAATTGCCAGACTATATGGGCAAGAACGACACTAGTGAATTCTATCTCTCCAACAACCTTGATGAAAGCAGTGTTTGATTGAAAAAAATATGAAATTTAATTTTAGACATGGCAAGTTCAATTACATCACTTCATATCACAGTAGAAAATAGAATTTGTTCTACCATGGGAAATAGTATAATGGAATAGATAGGAATAGTAGCATAATAAAATATAATATCCAAGTGCAAAAACAATTTTCAAGTAAGTACACACATTGTTTGAAGGTACTTTATTAAGATCAAAGATTTTTCATTACATTTATAAATCCTTCCTAGTCAAAAGAAAATAAATAATAAAAATCTGTATCTTTAGAAAGATTTTAAGAACATAGTTTTGTAAGTCTGAGAAGGTTACGTTTGTCAATTTCAAATTATTACAGTTTAGATACATTAAATCATTACACAATACCAGGAAAGTCAGCCTTAAAGATACCAAGAACTTCCATATTGGTCAGTAAAATAAGGGTTAAAAAATTAAATTTTAATTTCACCTTTTTATGTTTAACTGACTTTAGTCAATCATAGAAGTACAGAATTTCCTTTTTGGTCTTGGATTTTAAATATACAAACTTTAAAAAGTGAACATTCCTATTCTCTTACATAATGGCTGACACTCCAACTTGAGAGCTGGCTTCTAGAGGGAGGAGTGCTATTCTTGCTAGAGAAGGAGAATGGAGGAAGAAAGTACAGAATTCAGGGCCTTTGGGCTGCTGCTAACAATGAACTCTTGGAATTGGCTTTGCTTCTTAAATTTTAATCAAATATCTTTCTAAGCATCAAGGTGGCCATGTAGACACTATTTTTAAGACTATGTCTACTGGCTGGGCATGGTGGATCACCTCTGTAATCCCAGTATTTTGGGAGGCCAAGGCAGGAGGATTGCTTGGGCCCAGGAGTTCAAGACCAGCCTGAGCAACGTGGCAGGACCCTGCCTCCAAAAAATAAAATAAATAAATAATCTATACTACCTGATTTCTCAAATTGCCAAAGTGCCCCTGTTCTCCGCCCCCCCCCATTATTTAAAACATATTGTTCTAGCTCTGCCCCTAAATAAAGACAGGTCTGGACCTTTCTTTTAAAAAATGTTATATTTTTATAACATCCCATTATTATCACCATCAAAAAAGGCCTCAGTTTCTTCCACTTTATCCTAATCTCTGTTCCCAATGTAAAGAACTGAAGTAATTATCTGCATTTATTTTTTAATGTGGGTATTTCAGGGTAAAAAATTTTGACTACCTAAATTACTCTGGTGATTTCCTGAATTATTACATAGTTCCCATCATTCTTTGTACCAGAAGTCTTGATTTATAGACACTTTTAGACAATGTTCCAAGAAGGGAATATGCTACCCAAACAATCTACTTCAGACTTCAGATTAGAAACCCTCCCTCTTTCATTTTTTAAAAACAAAATTGCTGCTATAGAATTAAAATGCTTAGAACTCACTGTCTGGATCATGTTGTTGTGTAATATCTAGTCTGATTATCTGTTTTGGTGTGACTATGTGTCAAGGCCATGGGAGTGGTTTCTGTCTCTGTTTCTAATATGAACTTCAAAAGTCTGAAGGAAAACTAGTGAATCATGCTATCAAATGTGCTGTGCACAGACAGCATACTTGGATCTATCTGTGCAAAGCTCAACTATTTACATGGAATGTGACCTTGATTTACAAAATTACTCTTTTAAATTAGGACACCTTGACATACAATCAATTTATTTTATGAATAGCCCCATTTGATATTTAAAAAAATATGCCTTTCAAATATTTCATAAATATATAAAATTTTACTACATTCTATTTTTTTAACATGACATTTAAACTCTCTTTACAAATCAACAAAAAATAACATTTTTTTTCTTCTTTGAAAGTCACAGATGCAACGATTTTCGATTGGCAGGGCTTCACTGCATGCAAGAATGGCAGGATATGTTCTCTTATAGAACGTACAGTCATTTCTAGCATTTTGAACTACATAATTCACTTGCTGAACATCAGTAGTATCAAAGAAAAGTGAGAGATCCCATCTAAATATTTACAATATAAGAGTCTTTCTTAAACTTCTTTAACAATGGCAAGGTTAGGATGGTGTCTGGATGTATTTAAAATCATTTTGATGACAAATAAATAAATTAACATTATATGAAAAGTTTTCTAAAACACATCTTAGAGCAACTTAAAGAGAGGGTGATCTATTGCACATATATGAAAAATAATCTTTAGTTTTTATTTAATTGAATAGAAATTCTTCTTCTAATTTATTGGGAAAATCCAAAAACAGCTAAAATAACATTTTGGGTGACTTCATAAATGTCTTCTGAGGATTTACAAATAAAAATACCCTTTGTAATCATTTCTTGCCACAAGACTCTATCATTGGTACTAATACTAATCCCACAAGGAAAGGCTTTTAGTTACTTATAACTGTTAAAAGTCTACTTTCCCTTATTAAATAGTTGTTGAGTCACTGACAGGCACTCAAAAAGACTTCTCAAGCTATACTAGGAGGCCATTCACTCAAGGTAAAATTTCAGCTACTCCTTTAAGAATGATTTTAAAATGCACACACTGTGAACGTATTGCGAGTATGTAAGAAAAAGTCTGCACTTTTGAAGGATGCCTTACTGCCAGCCCAGCTAAATCTGTGATGATCCACTGGAAATAGCAAAGCTGTCCTGTCTGTCTGGAGCTGCTCATGGCTACTGAATTGATACCTTCAAGGGCTAACATTCAAACTTGACAGCAGCAGCCACACCTGAGACCAGCTGGAGCACTGAACTCTAATACATACTAAGCCTCTAGCTAGATCTCTCTGAAAATCTCAGCCTCATCTTGGAGATAGAGCTGTATCAAAGACAGCCAGAAGGTTTGAGGTTTTGCTAAGAATACAGTATGGTGCACATTTAGATTTCAGATCTTATACTCACATATGGTACTTGAAATAAGGCTGTAAAAAGGTACAAACAAACCAGCATTCAACCTGAACCAAAATTGTACATCTATGACAGTGATATAGATTTTAAAACCCTACTACCAAAACAGTAATTGATTTCATCATGCACTCTATAAAAAAGACAATTATGGAAATTTCTCTTAGTTATGAATGTAACCAGCTCACTGGTACCCAGTGGGTCTCTGTCTCTAATTTGTCAAAAGTTGTTTTGAGCTCATTGAATGCCACAGTGAGGTCATCATTTATTATGATTTTGTCAAAAAGATGACCATATTGACTTTCCATTATCTGTGCAGATTTAATCATTTCTTGAAAATCTTCTTCCTATGAAAGGAAGTATTAAAAAAATAATTGGTTAACCAGGCCATTACCTCACTTCACATCAATGCAAACATTCTACAATTAGTTTACCTAATGCTGTTCTGTGTTCAGTCTTTCCCCTTAGCCAGAAATAAAAGTCATCCTCTTTAACCACAAGTGCTTCAGAAGCCATAATTTCTAATACTATTTCTCTTATTTGCTTGTAACAAAAAGCTACTCTGGCAAGAGTCAAAACTCCTGCCTTAACTGAACTATAGGATAATGAGTCACTAACTCATCATTATGGGGATACATCAGTATTAAAACAGCTATTAGAGAAAAGAATTGTTTACTCTGATGTTTTGGCTGCATTATTTATGCTTATTCATAGGAAGGAATTTATAATATAAACTCCTTTTTCAAAGTTGGATACATTTGTAAAAGGATGATTACCATGTTTTTTGTTTTGATACAAAGCCTCACTTTGTCACCCAGGCTGAAGTACAGTGGTGCAATCTCAGTTCAGCACAGCCTCTGCCTCACTGGTTACTGGTTAAAGCAATTCTCCTGCCTCAGCCTCTGGAGTAGCTGGGATTACAGGAGCATGCCACCACACCTGGCTAATTTTTGTATTTTTAGTAGAGACAGGGTTTCTCCATGTTAGCCAGGCTAGTCTGGAACTCCTGACCTCAAGTGATCCCCACCTGCCTCAGCTTTCCAAAGTGCTGGGATTACACCAGGCCCAGCCAATTACCATGTTCTTTCTATGTCTCATTAGAAGTGTTTCAGGAGCCTTCGTGTCTCAGATTTTTAAAGCCAGGAAGTATTTTAGTTGGCTATATAACATAAATGTAAGAGAGACAAATCCTATGTTATGCTTTCTTATCTTCATTGAGAAACCTTTAAAATATCTAAATAGTAGAATAAATCTTTATGTTGTAGCATGCTGAAATAATTTGAGTCTGCATTTCATTGTCACATAAGATTTCACAATAACAAAAATTTTAATTTTAGTGTTGATCAAGAGTCTAAGTAACTAACATCATACGACAGTACCTGCTCAGAACGGATGTGTACTGTTGGCATGTAAAAAAAGGCATTTATCAAATATACTGGGAATCAGAAATGTGATCTGTATTTTGTAACCACAACGAATAGTTCATAAATTAATACAGACTAAAGTTAACGATGAACTAATTAAGAGGGGGAAGAAAGAAATAGGCTTTTGACATTTAATTTCTTTGCTTTTGATTTTTGGTCCAAAGGTAAAATATATCATCTTAAGATTAGGAACAAAAACAATAAAAGGTCTTGCCAAAAGCCATTATAGCCACGAATATACCACAATCATCATTTCCAATAACACTCATAGAAAATACAAATATTACTGCTGAATAATATTGGTCTACTTATCTTAAACCCAAAATAGCGATTTTCTTTTGCTGTGCTAAATGTAATTATTGACACTAGGAGACAAGCAAGGCAAATTATTAAATTTTTCATTTGGAATCTTAATGAGTAATAGTAACTGATGGTAGTTTTAGCTTTAAAAATAAGCTGCTCTGCAAATTAATTGGTCTAGGTTTTATACCAATGTTTGGCCTACAATAGTATAAAATGGATGCATAATAGCATACAAAATAGCTTTGAGTCACTTGAATATGAAGATCCATTCACCAAAGCACAAAAAATGTAACTACTCAAAAGGTATGTGTCTAAATGCAATTCTTTGACTCATTTTTCTGTCTACTATACTCTTCCCGAGTACTTGCAGCTATATGTACGTTTTCATATATACAACTATACCTTCTGTCTTATCTACTGCTTATATCTTATCCCCAAGCTTTTTGTGGTTCTTGTCGAGACAGGGTTTCACTCTGTTGCCCAGGCTGAAGTGCAGTGGTGTGATCTCAGCTCACTGCACTCTCAATCTCTTGGGCTCTTGTGATCTTCCCACCTCAGCCTCCCAAGTAGCTGGGAATACAGGCGTGCACCATCATGCCTGGCTAATTTTTGTATTTTTTGTAGAGATGGGGTTTCACCACGTTGGCCAGTCTTGAACTCGTGGGCTCCTGTGACCCTCCTGCCTCAGCCTCCCACAGTGCTGGCACTGCAGGTGTGAGCCAGCACGCCCGGCCCCAGGCATCATTATACTTACGGTGAAGGGCTTTGCAGCACTTTGGTCATCTCTGCTTGAGATAATCTTTGCGTTTTTTCTTGTTTCTCTCAAACGCTCTATTGATGGAGGCTTTATAAATATCACATAGGGCTTAAATTCTAGTGTCCTTAAATGCTTCACTGTCTACAAGGAAGAAAAGAAAGTTTTCTCACATTTCTCCATAGCATCATGAATTACTGAATTTTCTTTCTAAGGAGAAAATTCCTTGAAATTATTCTTTCATTAAGATCAGTAGTCCTTCCAATATATTATTATTCAATTAACTATTGACAATTAAATGTAATAAACACCTCTATAAAAAGCTGAGGAATGTAACAGCATTTTAAAAGTTCTGAAATATATAATAATTAACATTGAACAGAAGTGGCTAAAAATATCACAAAACTGGTTTTTAGATCAAATACCCCAAAGGTGTGATGAGTTAAACAACCTTCTGTCCATGAACATCTTCCAACCATCCCTTACAAGCCCCTTCCTGATTTCAGGCAGGAGTTCTCCTCTTTCACCCTATCCTACAGAGTGCCCTACAAGGGCAGCCTCCTGCTCTCCATGAAGCCTGTCCACATTGCTTCATCAAATAGTTGATGTTCTATACTCTATGCTTCTGGGGACCCATCTATAATCAAGGGTGAGAGCTGAAAGTTATCCTTGATGAGCTGAAACTACACTGTGGGAGTCTGAGAGCAACTGTACCCGGGACACCAGTAGAGAGGCTCTGCATAAGCAGGACTGTCCCATTCACTGTTGGTGCCTGATATGGTTTGGATCTGTGTCCATACCCAAATCTCATGTTGCAATGTAATCCCCACCACTGGAGGGGCAGCCTGGTGGGAGGTGACCAGATCACAGGGGCAGTTTTAACATCATTCCCCTTGGTGCTATCATTGTAATAGTCAGTTTTTGTGAGATCTGGTTGCTTCAAAGTGTGTGGCATCTCCCTCCTCTCTCTTTCTCCGGCACTAGCCATGTGAAGTGCTCACTCCTCCTTTGCCTTCCACCACGATTGTAAGTTTCCTGAGGCCTCTCCAGCATCATGCTTCCTGTACAGTCTGCAGAACCATATGCCAATTAAACATCTTTTTAAAAAAAAATAAATTACCCAGTCTTGGGTATTTCTTTATAGCAATGCAATAATGGACTAACATAGTACCCAAGTCAGGAGGCAGCCTCCCTGATGATTGTTGAAACCCTCTTACTCCAGATTCATCTTCCTTTAGAGGAGCAAAGGGCTTCTGCAGGTCATTCTAGTATTTGGAGGTTTTGCACCGCAGAGTGCAGCCATGAGTGGAAAGAGAAACCATGGTCCCTGGGGAATGAGGAAAATGCTGTGGGCTGGGAATCTGCTGGAAGATATATGGTTTGATGGGGAATTGAATGGCTTCATCCACTGACATTCTCAGTTCAGAATGTTCAGAATGGAGTGTCCAGGATGACAGGTACAGATCTGGCAGTTGCAATGGGGCTTTCATTCAGTACAATTCCTATAAAACGCCCTTCAGTTCTAGTGGGGGATATTTGCTAGGATATATACAGAACTGAAGTCAGAGACTTGGAGCCAAAATGTCCATTTTAAAAAATTATAGACACTGATACTAATACATAACACATAAGAATGCATTATGCATGTCACAATGTGATATATTTTGAAAGAATACAGAATATATAGAAATATCTAAGAGCTGCTTTACTTGACAAAAACTGAATATAAATAGGGGTTACCAACACAGGTCTTGGAGCTTCCTCCACTTCTCTTTTCTAATAATATCATGGGCTTTTCTTTTTTTCCACAAAGATGTCTCAAATTACATTTAAATGCTTTTGCCATCTCAGAAAAGCCACATATATGCCAAAAGCAAGTTGACTTCATATTTATTTCATATTGAAATGCTCGCATGAGGTGCTGTAGATGACATGGGTCAGAAGGATATTGAATGGTTCACTGTTTACTTACATGAGGCTGAACATCCAACAAACAAACTTTGTTTTTAGCGAGGACAGACCGAACTGAGTCTATACTTGTGCCATAGTAGTTGTTTTTATATTCTCCATATTCAATAAACCTGTAAAACATTAGATGCATCAGAATCATTTGTGAATTTAAAACAATTATAGGTGGCAAGATAAAATTCATAGGTAAAAGTCATTTCTGCTGAACATGTAATTTTTTAAAACTATGTTTAATAAAATAAACAGAGCCAAGTATTTCAAAATGTCAATTTTTAAAAAATATTTTATTTTACATTTTCAAATCAGTAACACTTGCTTAAATTACATTTAAGCAGAAAAAAAGTACTTTAGTCTAGTAGGGCTCTAATGTTTTCCATCACCCCCACCCCCTTTTTTCAGACCTAATGCAGTGCAATAAAATGGTGAATAAGCCAAACAATAGAAACTACTGGAATTTCATTGCATGCTACAGACTAACCCAGCCCAGCTTCAGAACCAGAGGCACTGGGTGGTGGCTAATGGAGCCAGGGCAGCCGATCATGTGCTATAAAAACACAGTCACTGCGCCAAATACGAAAAAAGCATTTTGATGTTTTAATAAAAATCCACAATCCTGCATTAAAACACATATTGCTTCTGATAGCCTAAAATATTCATGCCTCAGCAGATGGAAAACCTGGGCAGGGGGCAATGGGGTGAGCTTGGAGCTAGCTAGAGGAGATGGCACCAGCAAGTTAATTACCATCATTTCAATTTTTTGAAGAGCCAATGAGAGAATGAGATGCAGGTGTGGGAAGCAGATGCTGAAACTAGTGATATACCACACAGTTGGTCATTAGTTTTTGAAGTAAAATTCTGTTAAGATTCAATTAGTGGGCTGGAAGGAGGTCAGAATAAGATACTTGCAGCCTTCCCTCATTCTGCAAAATAATGTCTACATATTTTATAGAAATGAAGCAAATCCAGGTTACTAAAAAATTAGAGGTGAAGATTAATAATACCAATCAAATTATTACCTTTTCATCTGTTTTAAATATTATTATGATAATTAATATACATTTCAAATGGAGGGGAACTCTCAGTTGTCTAAAACTGAACAGGCATGTGCTTATAAAAAAACAGTCACATGAAAATTCTCAAAAATGTCCACATACTTGTTATTTTGTACATCTGTCTCAAACAAATGCTTGGAAATGAAAATGTATTCAACGCCATCACTCTCCTGGCTTCTTTTTGCTCTGGTAGTATCTGTGATTTAATGAAAAGGAGTTTAGGAAAGCCCAAATCAGCCATCTTAAGGAAAATATTAAAAAAAGAAATCAAGTGTAGTTTTTTCAACAGAATTTAAAAATCTATTTTAAAAGCGAATTAGCTAATAAAATATAGTAACCTCTATAAATCCAGATTTTCTACTGTTACTAAAATTATATTGACTTGAAGATGGATAAAAAGGTCAATTGCATTTATGTCTGTGCTATTATTTGCTATTTTGCAGGCTCTCTAACCTGATAAAAGAATAATATTTAAACTTGTGAGGAAAAAACATTTCTTTTGCAAATAGTATGCTTATTATCTTTATTGATCTTTATTCATTAAAGCAAATCTATTGACCACTAAGTTGTTAGGAAAACTCTGAAATTGTTTGACTCTCTTCCTCTCATGAGACATAGTGGCTATGCCTTCAAAGTTTTGTTTTACTAGCCAAGTAAAGTCAAATACTTCTGTGTGCTATTCATTCCTCCTTTGCAAAGTTATAAATAGCATCATCTTAGAATACTATTGAACTTCTAGCCTTTCCGTAATCTTGCCTAATTATTTATTAATGAATTAAAATGGAGCAGAAAATATAGGATTCATTAAAAGGACACCAAGAACAAAGCCCAAGGCACTTCAGTGCTGACATGGCAAATGTAAACCCACTACAGGCCATCCTTCCTGCAGATCCCAACTAAGACTATGGATGCCAATAAACTATCTAAACATTTTGAAAATAAGTAAAGCAGGTAGACTGTAGAGGGGAGTGAAACTGCATGGGGAGAAGTTTGACTTTATTTTCCTCTTAGCTTTGCCCCAAGGGTGGGAATCCTTCACCGAGCAGCATGGTAGAATTTGCAGCTAAACACCAATAGAAGCCCTAATGTTTTGGCGCAAAGAACCAGGGGGGTAAAAAAAGTCCCTGTGGTTTGAAAAGTGTGGAGGAAATCCAAGAGAGGAGAAAGTGGAAGAAGAAAACACTTTAATTCTGTGTATGAGTCAACAGTGGTCTAAGAATCGCATCTGTGCTATATACATGCAGTTCAAATCCAAACCATCATGGCAAAGTCCTTATGAAGTGAACTGAGAGTGGAATGTCCAGGTCTCAGCCTAACCCCTGAATAACAGTAGCACAAAACATATCTAAGCTAATGAAGAAAAGTCTTAAAGAACTGAGCTGAGATCTGAACCATGCACACAAGTCAGACTAATCCTTGCACCCAAACAGACCCAAATCAATGTAACAAAAGTAAATGAGATAAAAGAAGCTGACAGCTAAAATAAAAATATCAATTCTCCAGAATATTGTAATAGGACCTACTGTTAATACAACATTACATTCACAATGTCCAAAATTTCATGTTAAATGATTTCAGATTTTATCTGAAATCATTTAACATGAAATAACAAAAAAAAGACCAATTTTTAAGGGGAAAGATAACAGATGGCAACTCTGAATGACCTGGAAGTTAGATTAGACAAAGGCTTTAAGGCAGGTACCATACCTATGCTTGAAAAGGTAAAGGGAAGTATACTTGAACGGAACAAAAATATAAATTCTTAGCAGAGGAACAGAAACTATAAAAAAAAAAAAGCCAGTAAACTTGAAGACAGAGTAATAAAATTATATCTGAACAAGGATAACAACAAAAAGATTTTAAAAATACAGCTAGAACTCCAGGGACCTATGAGAAAACGTGTATGTCATAGGAGTGATGGAAGGAAAGGAAAAAAGAGGTTAGGCCAGAAAAATATGTTTGAAGAAGTCAAGGCCCCAGACTTCTATAATTTGGTGAAAGACATAAACTTATAGGTTTCAGTAGCTCAGCAAATCCCAAACAGGATACACTCAGAAGAAAAAATTATGCCTAGACATGTTATAATCAAACTATTAAAAGCCAAAGATAAATAAAAAATCTCAAAGCAGCTAGGAAAAAACACAGAACACATAAGTGAATAATGATTTAAACAGTCACAGATATATTAACATAAATCATAACAATGAGAAATCAATGAAATATCTTTAAAGCACTGAAGGAAAAGACTTAATCAAAATGGGTTTCAAGAATAACGGCAAAATAAAGACCTCCTCAGGTGAAGAAAAACTAATTCCCCAGAAGACTGTTCTAAAAGAAATAACCAAGGAAGATTTTTAGGCTGAAGAGAAATGATAAGAAGGAAATTTCTATTTTCAGGAATGAGGAAAAAAATAGCTGTGTAAATGTAAAAGTCTACTTTTTCCTCTTAGATTCATTAAGATATAGATGACTATTTTAAAGACAAGTTATAATATGGTCTGATAGAGTTTTCAATGTATGCAAATGTAATATACTTGACACCTAAAACAAAAAGATTAGGCTTGGGAAAGGGTCTTAAATGGTTACCAGGTTTCTGCATTTTATGTGAGATGACACCAAGTTAAATGCCAAGCAGATCACAAATGGTTAGATATACATACTTCAGTATTTAGAACAACCACCAAAAAACTAATGCAGAGATACCACCAGAGAGTCAATGGCTAGATTAAAATGGAAACTAAAAAGGACTCAATCCAAAAGAAGGCAGAAAAGGAAGACAAATACAATAAAATACAGAGGGGACAAACAGAAAACAAATAAGAAAATAGTAGCTTAAATTTAATCATTTCCATAATTTAATATATATATTTACTGTATATATTAAAGGTTGGCTTCATATATATATATTTATTTATATATAACATATACATTTAATTTAAATATTAACATATTTATAATGTAAATATAAATGATAAATATAAATATATATAAAATATAAATTATATATATATTTAGTGCATATATATATATATATATATATACATCAAAGGTAAAATTAAGAGATTAATGGCAGCCAACACAATTATTTCAATGTAGGCAAAGAAGCATTTTTTAAAACTTCGACAGCATTCACAATAGTCTCAGCAAAGTAGGATTAACAGTACTGTCCTCAAACTGATAAAGGACCTCAATGAGCCAACATTTATATTAATGGAAAAAGATGGAGCTGTTTTCCCCTGAGATCAGGAGTGAGGCAAGTCTGCTAAATAACAACATGAAAAATAAGCTTGAAATGGGTCAAGACCTAAATGTAAAACCTAAAACTGTGAAACTTCCAGAAGACAACAGAATATCTTTGCAACCTTGAGATAGCAAAGAACTTTTACATAGACCAGAAACATTACAAAACATAAAAGAAACATGGATAAATTAGATTTCATCAAAATTAAACACTTTTGTTTTTTAAAAGATACCATTAAAAAAAATGAAAAGGCCAGTCACAGACTGGAAGAAAATATGTGTAACACACTTATCAGATGAAGAACAGGTATCTAAGAGTAGAACTCTCAAAACTCAGTACTTAGACAAACAATCCACTGTTTAAAAATGGGCCAGGCATGGTGGCTCACACCTGTAATCCCAGCACTTTGGGAGGCTGAGGCAGGTTATCACTTGAGGCCAGGAATTCAAAACCACCCTGGACAACATGGTGAAGCCCCATCTCTACTATAAATACAAAAATTAGCTGGGCATGGTGGCACACCCCTGTAATCCCAGCTACCCAGGAGGCTGAGGTGGGAGAACCAAGCCTCTTGAACCCAGGAGGTGGAAGTTGGAGTGACCCAAATCACACCACTGCACTTTAGCCAGAGCAGAAGAGGAAGACTCTGTCTCAAAAAAATGGCCAAAACATTTAAACACACACTCTACCAAAGAAGATACATAAATGGCTGAATTCATAAAATCGGGAGTCCTCAACCCCCAAGCTACGCTGGTCTGTGGCTTGTTAGGAACCAGGCCACACAGAAAGAGAGCAGCAGGTGGGCAAGGGAGTGTTACCACCTGAGCTCCACCCCGTTATGGCACTGGTTTCCCATAAGACCACAAACCCAATTGTGAACTGCATGTGTGAGGGACCTGGATTATGCCTTCCTTATGAGAATCTAATGCCTGATGATTTGAGGTGGAACAGTACCAGCCTGACACCATCCCCTCCTGTCCTGTCTGTGGAAAAACTGTCTTCCATGAAACTGCTCCCTGGTGCCAAAAAGGTTGGGGACTGCTGCATAAAATTATGCTAGTCATTAGTTAATGCAAACTGAAGTATGAGATACCACTACGTACTTACAGTGACAAAAATTTAGAAGACTGACTACATCAGGTGTTGGCAAAAATGAGGAGCATCCAGAGCTCACATGTGCTACTAGTGGTTTGTAAGATGGTATAACCACTTTGGAATTCAGTTTAGTAGTTTCTTAACAAATTAAACCATATGGCCTCCTCATTGCCCTCCTACTTATTTGGCCAAAGAGAAATAAAAACATATATTCATCAAAAGACTTGTACAAAAACCTTGTAATAACTTTATTTATGATAGCCAAAAATGGGGGTAGAGGGAGAAACCCCTAAATATTCATCAACAGGTACATGGATAGACAAATTGTGGCATTTCTATATAATGGAATGCTATTCAGCATGAAGAGGGATGAAAAGGAATGAATTATTGATCTAGGAAACAACAGGGGTGAATCTTACATTCATTATGCTGAGTGGAAAAAGTCTGGCAAAGAAAAAAAATGGATGCATACTGTGTAATCCTATTTAGATAACACACTACATCATTTCAAATAATCAATAGTGACAGAATACAGATCAGTGGTTGCTTGGGAACAGGGTGGAAGGCTAGATTACCAAGGGCACAAGGAAAGTTTTTGAGATGGAAACATTCATTATGTTGACTGTGGTGATGTTTTTGCATGTGTAAGCAGATGCTAAAACTGATCTAATTGTGTATTTTAAATATGTGCCGTTCTAATTACATCTTGATGTTACAGAAGAGTCCGAGAAGCGGGGTGTGGGGCAGGGAATGTAATTTAATAGAAAATGTAATGGATAAAACTCAACTAATTTAAATTATATCCCAATGTTTAATTCCCTTTTATTTAGTTAGCAAGAATATTTTAATACAATGTTCAG